CAAAGCACAGCTGATCTCCCTGTGCTATGCGGCTGCTTCCCACTAGCTCCTGATAGCTCTTTGATGTCATCTCAGTATTCTTCCCTTCATTCTCTCTGTTTCATCTACCTTGTCCTCGAACATGCCAGGCATGCCCCTTCCTTAGTGCTTTCACATTAGCTATTCCCTCTGCCCAGGACGTTATTGGTTGTCTCCCTGCAGATATCCACGTCTAAATTTCCATTTCTTTTAGTTCTTTACTCTATGGTTACCTTCTCAATGAGACCATTCCTGCACACCTTATCTAGAATTTCCAAGTCTAACATTTCATATTGCCTTTCCATGCTTTATTTTTCTCCTTAACAATTATTACTATCTAACACACTGTCTAAAGTACATATTTTACTTATTTATATTGTTTATTTTGTGGTTCTTTGAAGTGATGTGACTTGAATTTCAAATTGATACATTAGTCTTAAAAGAAGTAATAGCAGTGTATCCACTGTAACAGGTCTGAAGGGAGACAGGATAAATAACCACATAAGTGGGTTTATAAGTCTGGTCGATTGAGGAGTCTATAATTTACTCCTGACTACCAACAGATCAACTTCAAAAGGTTTGGCTGGGCTGAGCAGATTTCTTGGAACTATGTCTTGAAAAATTCTTTAAGATTGATCAGTTTCTGTGCTTTATAATCATATTTGAACACTTTGACTATTGAACATGGTTGGAAGCTGGGAAGATGGAGTGGGGTCAAGAAGAGAGAAGTATGCACATCCAAGTCCGATGTACTTATATCCATTTGAGCTTAAAAATTCTTATCAATTTAAGAAGTAGCTAAGGGCTTCCCTGGTGGCGCAGTGGTTGAGAGTCCACCTGCCGATGCAGGGTTCATGCCCCGGTCCGGGAAGATGCCACATGCCGTGGAGCAGCTGGGCCCGTGAGCCATGGCTGCTGAGCCTGCGCGTCCGGAGCCTGTGCTCCGCAACGAGAGAGGCCACAACAGTGAGAGGCCGGCTTACCGCAAAAAAAAAAAAAAGAAAAAAAAAATAAGTAGCTAAAAGTTACATTTCTAGATTTAGCTATGATTGTATCAACTCAAATGCAATAAAGACTGAATCTGATTGGCCCTATAAAAGGGTCAGTAGTTAGTTAATTCCAGGATCACTTTCAGTAAGTAGCAGATACAGCCTTAGAAGAAAATTTTAGTACCATCCTTACCCTACCCCTCTCATATGGTCATCCAATGAGTGAGGTGACTTCCTAGATGAACAAACACTTAGAATTCAAAGGCTGTGTTCGTTATGGGTTGAAGCGTATTCCTCCAAGAGATACTGAAATCATAACCTCTAGTACCTGTGAATGTGACTTTATTTGAGAATAGAGTCTTTGGAGATGATTAAGTTAAGATGAGGTCATTAGGGAAGACCCTAATCCAATATGACTAGTGTTCTTATAAAACAAAAATTTGGACAGAAGCAAACATGCACACAGCGATAATGCCATGCGGAGATGATCAAGTTGAGATATCTACAAGCTAAGGAATGCCAAAGATGGCCAGCAAATCATCAGAAGCCAGGCAAGAGGTATGGAACATATGTTTCTTCACAGCCCTCAGAAAGAACCAGCCCTGCTGAACATTGTGATCTCAGATTTCTATACACCAGAACTATAAGACAATTTTGTTGTTAAAGCCACACAGTGTGTGGTACTTTGTTATAGCAACCCTAGGAAGCTAATACAGTCCATATTCTTTTTAGAACAACTGTAGAAAATAGAATTCAAATTATGACCATAAGAATTTTAATCTAGTAAAATTTCCAAGGTTTGAAGAGTCATTACAAAAAATTAACTTTCTAATGTCGAACAATTTTAGATTTAAGGAAAAATTACAAAGTACTACAGAGAATTCCTCCATACAGCTTCCTCTATTGACATTTACATTAGTAGGGTACACTTGTTACCACGAATGAACTGATACTGATACATTATTATTAACTAAAGCACACACTTTACTCAGATTTCCTAGGTTTTAACCTAGTGTCCTATCCCATCCAAGATACCATGCTACATTGTCATGTTTCCTCATGCTCCTCTTGGTTGTGACAATTTCTGACTTTCCTCGTTTTTGATAACCTTGATCACTTTGAGGAGTACTGGTCAGCTATTTTGTGGAATTTAACTGATATTTCTCTCATGATTAGGCTGTGACGTTGCATTTTAGAGGGAAGACCACAGAAGTACGGTATCGTTTTCATCACATAATATCAAGGGTACAGACTACCAACATGACATCCCTGTTGATGTTCACCTACATGAGAAGTGTTTGTCAGATTTCTCTGCTGTTAAGTTATTCCTGGCCCCTGCCTTTCATACTATATTCTTTGGAAAGAAGTCACTATGCACAGCCCATACTTAAGTAATGGGAAGTTATGCTCCATCTCCTTTGGGGTAGAGTATCTACGGACATTTTTTGAAATTCTTCTGCACAGGAGATTTGCCTCTTCTCTTCAGACTGGAATAACTATTTCAATACTCTGAAAATAGAGAGACTCTACAAAGAGGATAATTTAAAATTTTTACTATATAATTTCTATTTAAAACAAAACAGTACTAGTATTTGATGTACAAAAGCAAATATTCTGGTCCAGATAATTAGAAATAATAATATATACTTTTTAAAGGTTTCCTTTGATCATAGAGTCTCAATTTCTCTCTACTAGAGCATGTATTCTCAGTTACCAAGAGTGTGAAAATTGGTTCCTAATTACAAAGAAAATTTACTAGCAGAACACAAGATGTTTTAACCTCTTTTATCGTCACATGGAGGGTTTTGTACCTTTGGGCATGACCCAATACTGCCCTTTCTTCATGTTTATCTTCCTCCTGAGGCAGAATAGAGAATAGAGTGAGAGGGAAATAACTTTGAGTTTTCCCCCAAGGTGGCAAACTGTGTCACTAACCATGGGCATGCCTCAATTCAGATGTACTAGATTTTGCCTTCCAAAGTATGATATACTCTTCATATAAAACTAGTAATGTGGTATTATAGAAAAGTTCATGCTTCAAAAACTCTAGGTATATGTAATGCCTCGATTTTACTCTTTCAACAAACATTTATGGAGGGCCAGCCACGTGCAAAGCGCTATGTTTGGTTCTGAGGAAACACCACTGAGAAAGCATAGATAAGGTCCCTGTTTTGATATAGTTTTAAACTTGGTGGAGAAGACAGGTACTGAGTGAGCATTAAAAGTGTGCTAAGTTACATGAAGAACTTTAGGGTACTGAGGGTGTAAAATGTGATCAGGTAATGGGGTCGTGGGTTGGTTAACTTAGCACAGCAAAACAGGAGGTTCCTTTGAGAAAGTTACGTTAAAGCTAAATTCTGCAGGCTGCATAGGAGTCATGTTGGGGAGGGTTATCATATTGACTAATATGGTCCTGTTCTGAGTGAAAGTTAAGTTTCTCCTTGCTTTACAAGGCAGAAAGAAACTTTAGAGAAGATCTCAAATCTCAAAAGTCTAACACTAGAATTTATAATATTTTTGAAAAGCCAATTGAAAACTCCTAACCCTGGAAATTTATTATAAATGGTTAGAGACAACTCATACTGGTATCCTTTCTTTAAAAATCCCCATGGAAATAGCAACACTACAATACTTCCATAATTGATATAGTGGTTTACAATAGCCAACTTCTCATGCAAATGATAGTACAGTATGGTTTTCAGGATGTTTGCTACAAAGGGAGAAAATAACTGAGGAAGCAATTTCCCTAAATGTGGTGACAGCCTAGTCATTAAAGAACATTCTACTTCATTGTTATGAATACGTGAATCATTTCAGTGGTTACTGGGAATATTTTTTTTTACCACTTACAAGAAAACATCTGCTACAACTAGATGAATGATTAGCTGCAAAGTATATAGCAATCTTGTTTTTGAAGGATTACTTTCCAAAGTCCCCCCATTCAGGTGCATGTATAATGACATAGGTGGTCATTTCTAGAATCTTCTGAGTTGGTAGGAGCAAATTCTTCAAGAGGCTCATAAGATAAAGTTTTTGTTTCTCTCAGAATTTCAGCATTTCTTTGAGATTACTCCATCCCATTTTCAAAGAATTCTATCCCCCCTCTCTGGCACTCCCAGGACATATCTTCAAGGTTAATGTTTAAGTGTTAATTAAGCCTAGCCATCCCTTATGAGATAAATAAGTAAACAGGCTAGCCGTGATAACGAGGTTTCTAAGACTGGACAAACAGGAATGTTAATGCATCTTTCATAATGGAAACAATACGTTTATAATCTTAGACTTAAAGTAACTATGGTTACAAAGCCTTGTGCTGCTTTACCTTCACTTGATTCCTTTCACTGGGGATCCACCTCTGTCATCAGGAGAGAGTCTCCTTGGCTAATGGCTCTCAGTGTCATCATGAGAATACAAAGATTAAATACCTTATGAATAGAGAGTGTAAATTTCTTTATCTGCTTCAGAAGTGTCTTTTCAATAAGGAAGACTTGGTCAACAAAGGAGAGAGAAGTGTTCTCAGTTTCAACCAACTTTCTAAACAAAAAAACACTGGCTTTCTATTGTACCTGAAGTGTTTTGTTATCAATGATTACCTGCCAAGTGCTTCAAGTCTTTATAGCCATAGTCTTGATGTTGACAAAGTGCTTCAAAAAGAATTTCTGCAGATACTTAGGGTCAAGGGGTCAAGAAGAAGATATTATCAAGATAGAATTTAGAATGCTAGATTTAGGATGAATTACTGCAGACATCTTCTCAAAGAGTGTTAAGGAGACAGGAAATTGTTCAAACATAACATTAGAAAAAAAGCAGGGTTCGAAATTCTGTATATAATCCATTCTATAAATATGATATAAAGTATATAAAGATGAAAAGAAGCACATGAAAATGTAAACAGTGGTTATCTTGGGGTGACATTATGGGTGATTTGACACAATGAATATTATTACTTAAGTATTCAGAAAAAACTGTTTTATATAATCATTTATTTTAAACAACAGCTATAGCTTCGGTAATTATGAAAAGGACTCACTGTTTATCTGGGGCACTTTCAGAGGATGTTAGCAGAGGATATCAGGAGCAGTTAAAGCACTGATGTTTTTTCACCTGGAGAAAAAAAGAGTAATGAAACAAAAGCTAGCTTCAACCCTTCGAAAGACTGTCAAGTAGAGGAATAACAAGACATTTTCTAAAGACTAGAAGTTCTATGGAGTTTAGCACCTGTCTTAATTTAAAAAAGACATTTCTGGTAACAACGGAACAGATTGATATTCAAGAATTACTGAAGGCATTCAAGAAGAGGTTGGATGGATATCAGACATATGGTTATAAAAATGATTGCTTCACTGAGTGAGAACTAAGACTATGGGGTTTTTAAGGTCTTTTCAACCCTTGGATTCTATTATTTTAAACACTGCTAACATATTTGCCCAACACTCTAGAGGTCAGGAGTCTTAGTTTTTCTTTTCCTCATTTTTCTTTCCCCCACCCTGCTCCCACTTCCCTCCCACATTGACAGGAGATGCTGACTTGTGCTGGGAGTCACAGGGGCAAATCGCCCTTGAGAACAATTCTAAAAGAGCAGTAAATTCCTCATGATAAAGCCTCCAATTTAAAGAACAGAAGTGACAGAATATAGTGACTTGTCTAATTTACCATAATGTGTTTTGTATTATAATGGCAGGGCAGGGTTCACTTGGCTTGGGGTTTGTAAGGGCTTAAGACAAATCAGAAAGAATAAGATGGGCTCAGATTTCTATCACTCATCTGATTACACATTTAGACATGATGCATGCTATCCATCCCTTTCGCTATGCCATCAGTTTCCACACCATCTTACTCAAAAATGGCACAAGACATTCTCTGATTCACCTTCCCAGACATCCCAGCCCCCTAGCTGAGGAGGCCCTTTGTGTGATCCCCAGTGAGTGTGATATCCTCACCTCTTGTCAGCCCCAGATAGGAAGCAAATATTCTGTAACACCATTCTTTTAGGAACCAGCCAAATAGTATTAGAAACATTGTTACAAATACCAATAACCATTCATCTTCCAGTAAAAATAATAGAATATATATATGTAAAATTCTGGGCAATTTCGATATTTATACTTATTCTACTCAAAGACTTAAGTCCTAGAGAGATGATTCAGATGATTTTCTTATACTACTTAGTCCGAACTCCACTTGTATTTATTGAGTATCTATGTGTTCCAGGCACTGTGCTGTTTTCATTTAGACATCTCATTAACTTTGAGTGAAGAAATTTCTCCCTCTCTGTCCAGGTGAGGAAAATGTAGTTTAACAGATAGCATTTTGCTTTGATCACCCAGCTGCCCAGAGGTAGAGCTGGGAAACAGCCTAAGGTTTCCTGACTCTAAGAGGCACAGAATTTTGTAAATGCCTTCATATGTAATTACGCAAACGACCTGTAGGGCTTCATGATGATAACATGAACACGCCCACATCAGCCTGTAAAACAGATGGGACCTGAGTTGAGTTATTCCCTTCCTGAGACAGGCATGTTAAACTACAGTCCAAGATACTCAATTGGGACAGGACAAATGAAGGATTCGAAGTCATGTTTCTGCAGAGTTCTTCTCCATGCTGTGAAGTATTAAGGAAAACAGTGCCTCTCAATAGTGACAAACCCCAAATACCTCTGATTGCTTACAATGTCTTGCTTTACACAATGTACATTGTAATTAAGTTTTATCAATATAGAGAATCTTTATTTTTTAAAATTTATTTTATTGAAGTATGGTGGATTTACAATGTTGTGTTAATTTCTACTGTACAGCAAAGTGATTCAGATATATATATATATATATATATATATATATATATATATATATATATATCCTTTTTCATATTCTTTTCCATTATGGTTTATCACAGGATACTGAATATAGTTCCCTGTGCTATACAGTGGGACCTTGTTGTTAAAGAATCTTTCTTTGTTAATCATTAAAATCAACTGAATGAGTTATATTTCAAATGAGTCTATTAGTAGAAAAAAAGCACTCATTAAAATAGGAGTCTGAAAATGGAGACAGACAACATTGGCCAAGAAAGAAGAAAGAACAGGTGTTTGATCTTCTCCCACACTCCATCAGAGTGGAATATGGAAGAGCTCTTGTTTTTGTGGACATGTGCTAAAGAAAACAGAAAAATCCAGCCAAGTTGTGCAGTGAGTTTCATGAATATATGGAGAAATGTTTACTTGTCTTGAATTGAGGGTGGAAATCTAGTCCCCTTAGACAATGAGCCAGGTTTTAGAGCTCATTTGTATTGTCTAATCATTCTCTCTTCTGGGAACATTCTAATTTAGCTAAAACCAGGATTTGGATTTGGCCTAGCTATAAATTAAAAGAATACTACATGGCTATGCAGCTCTGCTCAAGAGTTTATTTGCTCTTACATTAAAAAATAACTCAAGTTACTCTCAATGGATTCATTAAAAACCTGATTTCTCCACTTTATAGCTATTTTGTCTGGCAGATGGGATCTGGTTTTTTCCTTATGCTGCATTTTTCGAACTAAGTGTATATGGTGAGATAACAGTATACTCTCCCGCCAACAAAAAAGCCACATGAATATTTCAATAAAATTGCATTATTTGGCATCTACTGTCCACATATGTTCATTTGGCTATTGCTTGTCCAAGCCAATTATAGCCACAAGGGGAATGAGTGTTTGAAATTTAAACAAGGAGCTCTAAATTTTCTAAGAGAGGAGGCCTCCTGACAGGTAGATCAGTCTCTAGTTCATTTTTAATGAAGTTGACAATTCCATAAATCATTGTTTCCCTCCCATTATCTGCCAGCTTCTGTGCTGCAGAAGCCTGAAAAGAAAACTTCTTTATACTTTTGGGTGGGGGGTGGTTAGGACGAGGTTAGACTCTTTGAATGAGCTTTTAAGGATAAATAACTTCACCATGCAGAGAATAAAGAGTATTTCAAGCAGAGAAAATGGCATGAAGGTGTGATGGGTTCAAGGGTAGAGCAAGGATGTAGAAACATAAGTCGGAGGGCACGGTAGAGATGTTGGATTTGTTGGTACACTCAAAGAGACATCATCAAAAGTTTTAAGATAAAGAATGTTAAGTTCCATCTCTATGAATCCTGAGAAATGGAGTATTACATTCCCACAGATATGAAGAGAAAACCCGATTCCTCTTTCCAGTAAAGAATGTCTGTAAGGTCTGAAGTTAAGTGGACAGATAAATAGGGGCAAGAGATATTTGGAAATATTGTTGTCAGTTAAAAAACAAAACATGTAATACTTAAATTAAATCGCCCTAGGGATTTTTGTTTTTCATTCTGATTTTTAAGAATCTGGTTTGTAATTGGGAGAGAACAAGGTACAGATAGAATTAGTGTGAATTTCTTTGTGAAAAGTTAAGGTCACTCAGAGATACCATTTGCTTAATCATTGCTTATACACATATCAAAAAAAAATCACACACACATCTTTTTATGTGCCAAAAATGGTAGTGGTTGAAAATGTGACTAAATCTACATGTGTTGATCTGGAGTATGAACCCACTCTCGTTTAGCTTTGCCAAAATTTTATTACTTTCTCAAATTCTCAGCTATAGATCTTCATCCTATATGGTAGTGCTTTAGAACTGCACGCATAATATAGACAAGAACTTGGCCTCCAGAATCAAGCAAACCTGAGCTCTGTCTGCTTATGAGCCCTATGACCTCAGCAAGTGATTAGATTCCTTTAGGTCTTAACTTTCTCAACTGTTAAAAAGAAAAATCAGATGCAAACTCGTATCTACCAAATAGTTATTGTGAAGATTAAGTAAATGCTTGAAAAATGCTTACTGTGGTGTCTGGTGTATATTAAGAACTTGATAAATGTCATTAGCCAATTATATAATTATTATCATTACCCAAAGATAAACACAGATAATCAGCTTGAGAAGAAACATCTGTAGAAACCACTTTATCTGTATAGCGAGCCAGCTGATTCACCGCATTTTGCTTGATTAAATAATAATGAAAAGGATAATAATAACATACATATAATACTTCAGTGTTTAAGGATATTCCCTCATGGACAAATAATTTGGCACCAACTCTGTGAGTTAGAAAAGATAAAATATTCTTACTGTTTACAAAGAAGAAAAAAAAGAAGTCAGGATATAACATACAAGAGAAAAAAAATCTATAAAAGCCAGAATAGAACAAGGAGATTAGGGGGAGAGGAAAACCTCTTAAAGAGATTAATGTGTCACAAAAACCCTTTCAAATAACCAGAGTGGAAAAAGCACCGTGTCAGCCAGTTAATTGACATTGTCAAATCGACTCATGGGGATCTAACAAATGTCAGACTTATTTAACATTTTTTTAATTGCTAGCTATTGATTTACATATTTATTTTTTATTTATTTTTGTGTTTATGTAGGTATATTTTTATTTATTTAACATTTTTATCGGAGTTCGTTCCAAAATTAATATTTCAGTTATATTTATGACTCTTAACACATACATTATTGCAGAGCAAATGCATCATCAAAACATTTGTTCAAAATAAGCACCATTTTTATAATATGCATTTGTTTAAAAAAGTACATTATTGAGTGAATTTTTATGTTCTCTATTTTTCAAAATTATATATTCACAGATTGAAATGTAGTCACTGTCTTTACCTACTATTTAGATTATTAATCAACAAACCATAATATAGACTTTGGAGCAATAGTTCTCAAACTATACAATGGTGGGCTGAAAACTTGGAAAATGGTTCCATTGCTTAGTTGAATATGGCCAATCTTTCTTCCAATTCACATTTGATTAGATTTTTTAACAGTTTGACCAATAAGTTTTCCTTTATAAAACTGATGCCTGATAATTGTTGAGTCTGACAAAGTGAATGTCCAAGTATCATAAAATATGTATTTTATGAATACGTATAGAAAGGTGACTGTGCCTAATTGGACAGTTAATAAATGTGGTCATATATATTCATGCCTAAGATTTTTGCACCATGTACCTATAATAGAGTTATAGTTTCTCTAAGAAGCACTGATTCCAACTCATTAATATGATCAAATATCCTAATAATTCATATTCTACCTTGATCAGCATGACATTCAG